GGTTTCTTTTTGTTTGTTTATTGTTGTTTTTTTATTTTTGTTCTTTGTGGGTTTTTGGGGGGTTTTTTGTGGTTGTTTGGGGGTTTTTATGGGGTGGATTTATTAATACATGCTTTACGCAAGTCTATGCCAAACAACATGTAATATTGGAAAGTAAATGATGTGTGGAATAGAATTTATTGAAATTACTCTAGAATGTGAAGTGTGTTGTGTTCTGCCTTTTGTTCTGTCATCTTTCTCTTCCAATCTGAACAATAATGCAATCTAGCCAATGTGACCTGATTGTGTTGCAAGTGGTTCAAAACTCTTAATAAAACTAAAAAATACAAATGTCTTATTCTCAATTCTGTGATGAATAGAATTGTTTTAACTTACTCTTTTGTGAGAAGTGTGTTGTGTCCTGCCTTTGGTTCAGTCACCTGTCTTTTCTTTTCTGATCTGGAAAATAATGTAATCTAAGCCAATGTGACTTGATTGTGTTGCAAGTGCTGTATAAATCTAACTAAAACTTAAGAAAACAAATGTGTTGTTTTGAATTCTGTGCGTAATAGAATTTAATAAACTTATTATTGTGTGAGAAATCTTTGGTTCCGTCATCTTTCTTTTTCAATCTGGGAAATAATGTAATTCAGTCAATGTGACCTGATTGTATTGCAAGTGCTCTAAAACTCTTACAAAAACTAAAATAAAATGTGTTATTCTCAATTCTATGATGAATAGAATTTCTTAAACTTGAGCTAATTGTGTTGCAAGTGCCGTAAAACTCTTACAAAACTTTTTAAAACCTGATCCGGAAAATAATGTTTTCCAGTCAATGTGATCTGATTGCGTTGCAAGTGCCATAAAACTCTTACTAAAACTAACTGAAAAGGAAAAAACTACCCCCTCCCCCCTCCCTCCCCTCAGAATCCGGCAAACATACCCACCTGTAGAGACCTCGGACAACACAGCCTACATCCGCTTCCACACCGACGACAGCGGAATCCGCAATGGGTTCAGGCTGCTTTTCCAGGCCAGCGTGGAAGGTATTTTGTTGTTGCTGTTGTTGGTGTTGTTGTTGTTTGTTGTTTTTTGTTGTTGTTGATGTTGTTGCTTTGTTGGTTTTATTATTATTATTATTATTAT